TCCAGACCATCACAGCGGCCAAGCACCGGTTCAGGACCTCGACAGCCTCCTTAGTAGCAGGTGGAAAGGAGCTCTTCTCCAGTCCCTAGGTCTGATAGTGAACTGGGAGAAATCCAATCTCATTCCTTCAAGACGAATGCAGTTCATTGGAGCCCTTCTGGATTCGGAGTCGCAGAGGGCTTACCTGCCCGAAGAACGTTTCGTAAAGTTACAAAACTTAGTGCTACAGGCAGTACAACGAGATGTCGTCAAAGCAAAACAGGTCCAAATTCTGTTAGGCCACATGGCGTCAACGACTGCAGTGACTCCGCATGCACGACTTCACCTCAGACCACTACAGTCTTGGTTCCTGTCGGTTTTCAACCCGTTGTTACACAGATCCAGTATGCACCTATCTTTTCCTGGGGAGCAACGCAAGGAACTAAAGTGGTGGTCAGAGCGCCAGAATGTGTGTATTGGTCTGCCATTCCAACAGCTCAGACCTACAAAAATTCTAACTACGGACTCCTCTCTCATGGGTTGGGGAGCACATGTGGATGGGCTAACAACCCAAGGGACTTGGACAACATTAGAGTCCAAAAATCATATAAACCTCCTAGAACTACTCGCAGTAGAGAAAGCTTTAAAGTCGTTCGAACCAGTTCTAAGAAATCAGGTGGTCCAGTTGGTTACAGACAACACCACCGTGATGTTTTACATAAACAAGCAGGGAGGGACACATTCCAAAGGGCTACTAGCAATGACACTCAAGGTTTGGAATTGGTGTATAGAACAGGGCATACACCTGTTAGCAATCCACCTGCCAGGGGAGCAAAATGTGCTAGCGGATTATTTGAGCAGAAATCCTCTCGCCCACCACGAGTGGACTCTAAACAGACAGGTGACAGCTCTACTTTTTCAGGTTTGGGGCGAACCAGAGGTAGATCTTTTTGCATCAGTAAAGAACAGTCAATGCCGACTGTTCTGCGCTCGGGAGTACCGGAATGCAATGCCGATCTGCCTCGGGGATGCTTTCCTGCTGCACTGGGGAGAAAGGAGGATTTATTTGTTTCCTCCGTTTCCCATCATACTTCGAGTGGTGTCAAAGTTGCTTCACGATCAAGCACAGGGTATCTTGATAACTCCTTGGTGGCCAAGGCAGCCTTGGTTCTCTTTGACCCTTCAGATGTCCAGGGGGATTTTCAAGCCGCTTCCAAAGCAGGAGGACCTACTGTCAGAACAAGATGGTCGGGTTCTGTACCCGGATGTCCACAGCTTGAGGTTGACGGCATGGCGCATATTCCCAGTCCAATAAGCCAAGTACCTCCGCTTTCAACACCAGTAAGGAAAATTATGGAAGCAGCCCAGAGACGGTCAACAAAAAGATCTTATGTTTATAAATGGAAGAGATTCACGAAATTTGCTTCAGAAAGGAATGTGGAACCCTTTAAAGCCCCAATTTCCTCGATTTTAGATTTTTTAGCGCATTTAGTGGATGTAAAGTTGTCTTGGTCGTCACTGAAGTGCTACCTTGCGGCCCTATCTTGGTTTAGGAGGAAGGTAAATTTGCCTTCTTGTTTCACTGACCCTTTGGTGTCGCTCTTTATGAAAGGTTTGAAGAATTTAAAACCGCCGGTCTCACCGGTGGTCGCACCATGGAACCTGGAACTGGTGCTCACAGCCTTGACTAAGCCTCCATTTGAACCTTTGGCGACAGTGGATATAACCTATTTGTCCTGGAAGACAGCTTTTCTAGTTGCTGTTACATCGGCTCATAGGGCAGGAGAGTTGTGCGCATTGAGGTGTGATGAACCTTACATAAGGTTCCATAGGAACAAGGTAGTTTTGAGGACTGATGTTTCTTTCCTTCCCAAAGCCACGAGTAGATTCCATATATCGCAGGAAATGGTGTTACCAGCCCTTTTTCGGGATCCTGTTTCTCCACTGGAGAAGAGGCTGCATTTATTAAACGTGCGTAGAGCACTCATTTACTACGTAGATAGAACCAGACAGTATAGGAAGTCCACACGACTATTTTTGAAATATAGGAATGACGCTGCGGGCCTTCCAGTCTCTTTTTTGTCATGCCTCAGGACTTCTGGCTGCTTTTTGACGTCGGAAGAACTGAGTGCAGCCCCTTCTGAGGGCTATTTATAGAGGGAACAGAGGAGGGCGGGGCTGCTCTAACTGTCTTTGTAGTCTCGAGATCTTTCCGTTGTTGCCTGCGCGAGCGCAGGATTATTACCATATGTGCAAATACACAGGTGACCACTTGGGAAACTACGTTTACAGGTAAGCAACCTATATTTTCACCTTAAGAACAGACAAGCATCACAAGTTCTGAGGATGACCTGGGAAGGAATCCCACTGGAGCATTGAAGCACACCCAAATACCTGGCAGTCACCCTGGACCGTGCTCTGGCCTACAAGAAGCACTGCCTGAACATCAAGCAAAACATGGGCACTAGAAACAATATCATACGAAAGCTGACTGGCACAACCTGGGGATCACAACCAGACACAGTAAAGACATCTGCCCATGCACTTTGCTACTCTGCTGCTGAGTACACATGCCCAGTGTGGAACGCATCTCACCATGCTAAAACAGTGGCTATTTTGCCAATATTGCACCACCTGACATCCGCCAGGAAGTAGCAGCCAGTAGTGAAAGGACCAAGGCAGTGACATCTCCAGCACACCCCCTGTTTGGGTATCAGCCAGCACATCAACAACTTAAATCAAGAAATAGTTTTCTAAGATCTACAAAGACACTTAGTGGAACACCTCAGCAAGCGAGAGTCCAAAAGTGGCAGGCTCAAACCCAGAACCTCAATCAGTGGCTGATACCAAATGAGAGGCTCCCCCCTGGACACACAGAAAACTGGGCGACTTGGAAGGCACTGAACAGACTGTGCTGTGGCACCACGAGATGCAGAGCCAACCTTAAGAAATGGGGCCACAAAGTGGAGTCCATGACATGCGAGTGTGGAGAAGAGCAAATTACAGACCACCTGCTGCAATGCAACCTGAGCCCTGCCACATGCACAATGGAGGACCTTCTTGCAGCAACACCAGAGGCACTCCAATTGGCCAGATACTGGTCAAAGGACATTTAATCAACTACCAAACTTGCAAACTTGGTGTTTTGTCTGTTTGTTTTGTTTTGTTTTGTTAAAAATGTAATACAACTGTCTGGTTCCTCCTGGCACGATAAATAAATAAACCATTAGCACCAACTCAGTCATTTCTTTCCTATAGGAAGTGGATCAACTGCGTTTGGAAAGACTGCAAATTGATGAACAGCTTCGGCAGATTGGAGCCACGTCTCGACCTCCGCCCAATCGCACGGATAAAGAAAAGGGCTACATGTCGACTGATGACGGCCCAGGGCTTGGGCGAGGGAGCCGGCCCTACAGAAACAGGGGCCACAGCAGGCGCGGTCCAGGCTATGCTTCAGGTACGTTGTGTGTGTCCTGGGTTTCATCTACTCTTGTCGTTTTTATTCAGAATGGTTGTATCTTGGGATTTTAGGAAAAGTAGTAGTTTATGAACTTTTAACAGCCCTGAAAGCATGAATGGGTTGCATATAAGAAAATGTGTTATATTTATAGCCTGCTACCTCTGTTGCCTCATTCGTTCCGTTATTTGTTGCCTGTCCAAATGTCCTCATTTGTATCAGCTCAAAATATCCAAAACTAGTGTATGGGATTTCTTTCCCTTCTGAATCTTAGCACGATACTGTGGGGCAGGTTGAAATTATGATTTGGGATTGCTCAATGTGTATCATGGCTCAGCTTGGTTCCCCAAGTGCAGCCTTGTGTTCTGACATGTTGAGCCATATGGGATGCTAAATATTCATATATAGTGAATGTAGTGTTCATTCTGAAATATAAACTTATTTACTTAGCTGATAACTGATTTGCTGAAAGATTGTTCCAGCTGTTTTCATATTTCAGGCCAGATATGATTTTAGGTCATTCTTATGGTTTTTTGAGCTGAATTCGGATCTGTGTTTATTTTTTCTCTATGATGTGTAGTTTTTGCAGTAAGGCTAATTGAATAATAAATAATATAATAATAATAAATTTTATTTCTACCCCGCCACCATCTCCCCGATGGGGACTCGGAGCAGCTTATTTTATTTATTTATTTATTTATTTCGGTTGCTTCTACCCCACCCTTCTCACCCCGGAGGGGACTCAAGGCGGCTTACAAAAGCAAGGCACAATTCAATGCCGGCATCACATAACAGCAATAAGACAAATAACATCAGTTAACAGAAAACAGCAATTCTAGCAATAACATCAATTAACAGAAAACAATAATTATTGTAAGGCAAAAACAACCATAAAACCAATAAAAGCAATAAAACCAATACAAACCATTTCTCCTCATTGATGGTCAGCGTTTCGCAATATCATAGTTCAAATTCCAATTCCACATTGTCAGTCCTTTCAGTCCTATCCATCTGGTTGTCCATATCTAGTTATCAGATTGCCCAAAGGCCTGGTCCCACAACCACGTCTTTACCTTCCTCCTGAAGGAGAGGAGGGATGTTGATGCCCTAATTTCCCCTGGGAGTGAGTTCCACAGGTGAGGGGCCACCACTGAGAAGGCCCTGCTCCTCGTCCCCACCAGCCTCACTTGTGATAGCGGTGGGGTCGAGAGCAGGGCCTCCCCAGATGATCTCAATTTCCGGGGTGGGACGTAGAGGGAGATACGTTCGGACAGATACACTGGACCGGAACCGTAAAGGGTTTTGTAGATCAAAAACAGCACCTTGAATTGTGCTCGGAACTGAACCGGCAGCCAGTGGAGCTGACACAGCAGGGGGGTGGTGTGCTCCCTGTATGTCGCTCCGGTGAGCAATCTGGCTGCCGCCCGTTGGACTAGTTGAAGTTTCCGAACAGTCTTCAAAGGCAACCCCACGTAGAGTGTGTTGCAGTAGTCTATTCGGGATGTAACAAGAGCGTGGACCACTGTGGCCAGATCAGACTTCCCAAGGTACGGGCGCAACTGGTGCACAAGTTTTAGTTGTGCAAAAGCTCTCCTGGCCGCCGCTGAGACCTGAGGTTCCAGGCTCAGTGATGAGTCCAGGATCACTCCCAGGCTGCGAACCTGCGCCTTCAGGGAGAGTGTAACTCCGTCCAGCACAAGCTGTAACCCTATGCCCTGTTCGGCCTTACGACTGACCAGTAGGACCTCTGTCTTGTCTGGATTCAGTTTCAATTTGTTACATGGGGCCAAGCCCGGACAACAAAATACAGCAATAAAATCCAAACATATATAATAGACAACAACAACATTATCAAAATGACATTAAAAATGATAATAAAATAATAATAGTAATAAAATAAAATAAAAATTCCAATAGACACAATCACAATAGAGATGACAATGGGCGCGCCACATATTCCAAATAAAGAGCAATTAACAGACTATGATGAGATAAAATAGGAGCAGGATGTTAAAATGGAACTCATAAAACACAGAGTTGTGGGACAGAACATCCTATTTGGAGGGCACAAACTCCATTCGCCGAAAATGTTGAGGGGGTGTAAAATATCATGATGTGCACCTACTCGCCAAAGGCACAGCGGAAAAGCCAGGTTTTGAAGTTCTTTTTAAATGTTTGAATAATTAGAATAAATAGAATCAAATTGGTATCAGTGCATAAATGCATTAATTATTCAATTAGCTAATACAGCTGTCACAAGAGCTGTATTATTTCTGTGTACGAACCCACGTGATCTCTTCGATCAGCTGGAGAGGCCCTGCTCTTGCTCCCGCCCCCTTCGCAGGCGCGATTGGTGGGGATGAGGGAGAGGGCCTTCTCTGTGGTGGCCCCCCGATTCTGGAACTCACTCCCCAAGGATATCAGACAAGCCCCCACATTGGCAGTCTTTAGGAGGAGCCTGAAAACATGGCTGTTCCAGTGTGCCTTCCCTGAATCTGGAAACAATGCCCTGCTCTGATTAATTCCCTGCAATTGTCCTCAGAAACACTTTACTATCTGTTGGGTTGGTCTCCCTACATTATCTTTTAAAACCCTCCTGCTTAGATACATCCTACCTCTGTTCACACCCAGTGTTTATTTTAAAAAAATTAATTTATTACATCTGGCCCGGTCATAAGCTTTTAAATTCTCTGTGTTGTTGTTTATATGTAAGCTATATTAATTGTACTGTTTTATTTGCTTGCTGTTTTGTTTTTACTGATGTGTTGTTGGGCTTGGCCTCATGTAAGCCGCCTCGAGTCCCCTTGGGGAGATGGTGGCGGGGTATAAATAAAGTTTTTATTATTATTATTATTATTATTATTATTATTATTATTATTGTAGTCTATATCAGCAAATCCTTGTGATCGTACTTTAATCTGCATATTATTCTTGTTAAAGAAAATCTAATTCATATTGTAGTAGTTGAAGGATCGCACCAGATTGCTCATCTGGCTGTCAGCATGTGCATAACATGTCTTTCAAGCCCTTTAGCAAAGTTATCTCATACTTCAAATGCTGTATTGTAATAATAAGGCTTCTGGAGGTAAGGTCGCTCTTCTAAAAAGGCTAAACTCTTTGAATCATCCCAAATGAAAATGCAGTGAAACGGGTGTCAAACTTGTGGTCTTTCAGTTGTTTGGGCCTCCAACTCCCAGAAGCCCTAGTCAGCTTGTACAATTGCCAGGAATTCTGTGAGCTGAAGTCCAAAACACCTGGAAGGCCACAAATTTTAATCTATTTAGAAAGCGTGCTGGGCCCATAACCCTAGTTGGGCGAGAGGGCTTATTAACAAAAGACCCTCCCCATAAATGTACAGCAGCGTGACCCAACACCAGTAGCTCAAAGTGATAAAAAGAACAAAAACTTACAGACCAATGTTATCTCTCCCATAGGAGACTTTTCTTTGTAGTAAAATAATATGGTTACATTAAAAAAGGCAAGGTTTCCATAACACAAATAAAGTCCTTTATACTTACTTCTTTGCTTCCCTTCCTCATGCAGCTTCACTCTCACTGAGCTTTCTCTCACACTGAACTTACACAGGAGCTCCACACAGGAGCTTTTTACACACAGAAGGCCTTCAACCTGGGGCTTTGCTCTCACAGAGCCTCCTCTAACAAAGAACTTATACTGGAGCTTCACACAGTAGCTTTTTACACACAGCAGCATTTATATTGGAGCTTTCTCACTTGAGGCTTCTCTCACACAGAGGTTTACCTCACACTTCTCAGAACAACACTAGCTTTGGCCCACTTACTCTAACAGGCTTCGGCCTACTAATTCTTTCAGTCTTGTCTCACACTTGCGTCTCCAGCTCCCAGAAACCCTAGCCAGCTTGTCCAATTGCCAGAAATTCTGTGAACTGAAGTACAAAACACCTGGAAGGCCACAAGTTTGATTCCATTGCAATAAAGCCTCCATTGCCATTGAGAAATACTACAGGAAGAATCCTGTTTCCTGGCTGATCTGGTGTCTTTACAAAACGGTTTCCATGTTTGCTGTGTCAGGAAAAATTACCCAAGTCCCTATAAGATGGGTAAATTCATTAGTGTGAGCTTTCTATGGACAAGAGCCTCCTCCAAGCAGTTGGTTGGTTTTTTACAAGATATGAAAACAGACTGTGGTATGTCTTGGTTTTTTTAAACTCTTGATAGGAACTAACTCTGAAGCATCAAATGCTTCTGAAACAGAGTCTGACCACCGAGACGAACTTAGCGACTGGTCGTTAGCCCCAGCAGAAGAAGAACGGGACAACTACCTTCGCCGAGGAGATGGCCGGAGACGTGGCGGAGGGGCGCGTGGCCAAGGCGGCCGAGGCCGAGGGGGCTTCAAAGGTCAGTTGCTTGACCACATCAGAGGAACCAACAAACTTAAGAGTCCTATCTAAGTCCTCTACAGTGGATAGATTTGAAACTGAGGGACAGACATTTTCCTCAGATGTCCTTTAAAAATGGCAAGACCAAAACCATATGCCTCATTTATTTATTTATCATGTCAGAATCGCTTCTGACATGATAAATTGAGGGTAACAGAGTTAAAAACTTGGCATGATACTAAATGTCCTTTGACATTTCAAGTGCCTCTGGTGTGGCTGTAAGATGGTCCTCCATTGTAGCAGGGGCCAGACTGCATTGTAATAAGTGGTCTGTGGTTTGCTCTTCTCCACACTCACATGCCGTGGACTCCACTTTGTAGACACATTTCTTAAGGTTGGCTCTGCATCTTGTGGTACCAGAGCGTAGTCTGTTCAGCGCCTTCCAAGTCACCAGTCTTCTCTGTCCCCAGGAGGGTGTTTATCATCTGGTCTCAGCCACGGATTGAGGTTCCATCTGTATACTCTACAGATGGGATTTCTAATCCCATATAGCATCTATAAAATCTTATAAAACTACATCTTTTTCAGTGTAATGTTGGCTAAGCAATATAATTTTTCCAGTGGTGTGGGGTGTAGACATCCTGCTATAATACTTTTTAAAAAAAATACATATCGTACACACACAAAACATTTACAATTCCCACTACCAACACGAGGATTGTTTTCTTTTACATATTCATTTCTTTTTGAGACAATCTTTATATCTTTATCTTTATACATTTCCATCCTATATACTATATAACATTTGTATCTTATTTCTTATGGCATGATCTCCGGATTGATTCAAAATATAGTTCTTTACCCTTGTCCATCTTTCTTCCATTTCTCTCATTCTATTTTGATTGTTTTTTAAATCATTTAATTTCACCTTCAAAATTTTGAATTCAATTTGCTCCACCATATATTGGTACCATTTATTAACTGTCCATTTTGATTTATTTTTCCACCCTTATACTATTACTGCTTGTGCACATTCAATTATTGCTTCTTTTATTTCCCTTTTATTTCCCATTTCCTCTTTTTTAATACCGCTATTTCCTTTGTTATGACCTACTCATTTCCTAGTATTTGATTTGACTCATTTTTTATAGTCTGCCAAAAATATTGTACATATTTTCATTCCCACATCATGTGCACAAACCGCCATTTCTGATGGCATCCATGCCAGCACTGACTACTCCCCTTTTTAGCCTGCGATTTTATTTATTTATCGTGTCATCAGCAACCATACCATTGTATTACATTTCTAACAGAACAAAACAAACACNATGCAATGGTTATTATTTAGTTCTGGATTTATAGCATGTGTTTGGTTACAGAAATCCTTTGCTGCGAAACTGCCGACTCTCTCTGCAAAATTGTCCATTTCTAATTTGGTTATATGTCTTGCAGTTGAAACAAGTGCCCATTACTTAGTTCTGGTTTTCTAGCATGAGCTTGGCTACAGAATCAGCAAGACCTTTTTTTTTGCGAAACTGCCAACTCTCTCTGCAAAATTGTCCATTTCTAGTTTGTGTATATGTGTTGCAATTGAAACAAGTGCCTGTTACTTAGTTCTGGGTTTTTAACATGAGTTTGGCTACAGAATCAGCAAGGCCTTTGCTGCGAAACTGCCAACTCTCTGTGCAAAGTTGTCCATTTCTAATTTGTTTATATGTCTTGCAATTGAAACAAGTGTCGGTTACTTAGTTCTGGCTTTCTAGCATGAGTTTGGCTACAGAATCAGCAAGGCCTTTGCTGCAAAACTGCTGACTCTTTGTGCAAAATTGTCCATTTCTAATTTGGTTATATGTCTTGTAATTGGAACAAGTGCCCATTACTTAGTTCTGGATTTCTAGCATGTGCTTGGCTCCAGAATCAGCAAGACCTTTTTTTGCAAAACTGCCAACTCTCTGTGTAAAATTGTCCATTTCTAATTTGTGTATATGTCTCGCAACTGAAACAAGTGCCTGTTACTTAGTTCTGGGTTTCTAGTATGTGTTTGGCTACAGAATCAGCAAGACCTTTTTTTGCGAAACTGCCAACTCTCTCTGCAAAATTGTCCATTTCTAATTTGGTTATATGTCTTGCAATTGAAACAAGTGTCTGTTACTTAGTTCTGGGTTTCTAGCATGAGTTTGGCCACAGATTCAGCAAGGCCTTTGCTTCAAAACTGCCAACTCTCTGTGTAAAATTGTCCATTTCTAATTTGTTTATATGTCTTACAATTGAAACAAGTGCCTGTTACTTAGTTCTGAGTTTCTACCATGTGTTTGGCTACAGAATCAGCAAGGCCTTTGCTGCAAAACTGCCAACTCTCTCTGCAAAATTGTCCATTACTAATTTGGTTATATGTCTTGCAATTGAAACAAGTGCCTGTTACTTAGTTCTGGGTTTCTAGTATGTGTTTGGCTACAGAATCAGCAAGACCTTTTTTTTTTTTGCAAAACTGCCAACTCTCTGTGTAAAATTGTCCATTTCTAATTTGTGTATATGTCTTGCAACTGAAACAAGTGCCTGTTACTTAGTTCTGGATTTCTAGCATGAGTTTGGCTAGAGAATCAGGAAGGCCTTTGCTGCAAAATTGCCAACACAAAACAAATTTAAAACAAAGGTATTTAAAACAAATACCAGCTTTTTCACACTAAAACGAGAGTAAATGCACCACTTCCTTGAAATGGAAGCCATGAGTTATGTCTGAGTAACCAACAATGTTTGTAATTTACTTGTTTACTTAACATGCAATGGTTATTATTTAGTTCTGGATTTATAGCATGTGTTTGGTTACAGAAATCCTTTGCTGCGAAACTGCCGACTCTCTCTGCAAAATTGTCTGTTTCTAATTTGGTTATATGTCTTGTAATTGGAACAAGTGCCTGTTACTTAGTTCTGGCTTTCTAGCATGAGTTTGGCTACAGAATCAGGAAGGCCTTTGCTGCAAAACTGCCAATTCTCTGTGCAAAATTGTCCATTTCTAATTTGGTTATATGTCTTGCAGTTGAAACAAGTGCCTGTTACTTAGTTCTGGCTTTCTAGCATGAGTTTGGCTACAGAATCAGCAAGGCCTTTGCTGCAAAACTGCCAACTCTCTTTGCAAAATTGTCAGTTTCTAATTTGGTTATATGTCTTGCAGTTGAAACAAGTGCCTGTTACTTAGTTCTGGGTTTCTAGCACGAGTTTGGCTAGAGAGTTGCTGCAAAAAGTGCCGACGCTCCATGCAACATCGTCCGTTCGTGGCTTGGTTCTGCACCTCTCCCTCCCCAAATAAGTCTCCGCTTCGGCAAAAGGAACCGCCGCCTCCGGTTCTCTCTCACACCTTTGGCGCCGAGTGTAACATTGTCTCCTTTTCCCTCCGTAGAGAATATTTCCAAGCCCATCATCCCCAGACCCCTGGTCACTTACCCCACAGAGAACCTAGACACCCTCCAGCTCACTTGCAACACCAGCGCCGTCCTGGCCAACGTGGCCTGGCTCTTGAATGGGCAGCCGCTGCTGGAGAACGACACCCACGTCCATCTCTCGGACAATAACCGCACGCTGGAGATCTGGCCGGTTCTGCGCAGCGATGCCGGGGACTACCAGTGCCAGGTGTATAATCTGGCCTTCAACAAAACCAGCAACGCCTTTCACATCCCGGTCGTCTGTGAGTATCCGGATGCCGTCCATTCGGTCTGTCCAGCCCTGGACTCTTGGCTCTCCTGTCTCGTTCTGTCCCGCCTGCACCGCTTCCAGGTGCTTCGGTTTCCTTATGGGGCGTGTCCCCCATCCAGACTTTTTGGCCAGTCTTGTGGCCATCTTCAGTTCTGTCGGTCCCAAAACTTAGGGTTTCGAATTCAAAGGTTCCATTTCATTTTCCCATTCTTCCTGTCCTGTTTTATCCTGCCCCATCGGCACCACTTTCCAGGTGCTTCGGTTCCTTATGAATGTATTGTCCATTCAGTCTTTTGGGCATCTCTCTGTTCCTTTTGGTGACCAATATTAACCCAAAACTGGCTAATTAGAAGATTCATCTTTGCCATTGTCAAAGAGGGAATGCTTTCCTGTCTTGATCCATCCTGTCTCGCCTGCACCTCTTTCCAGGTGCTTTGGTTCCTTCAGAAGTGCATTTTCCATCCAATCTCTTGGCAATCCTTTGGCAATCTCAACCTGAATCAGTTTCAAAGCTGGAATGTTGTCTGGAAAGGTCCCTCCATGTCATTTTCATGTTTTGCTTTCCCATTCACACTGTCTTGATTTATCCTGTCCCACATGCACCTCATTCCAGGTGCTTCAGTTTCTTCAGAAGCGTATTTTCCATCCAATCTCTTGGCAATCCTTTGGCGATCTCAACCTGAATCAGTTTCAAAGCTGGAATGTTGTCTGGAAAGGTCCCTCCTTGTCATTTTCATGTTTTGCTTAAAGGGTAAATTGATCAGGAGGACTGCTGGGAGTTGCAGTCCAAGAATAGATAGAGAAGGAAGAAAGGGGAGAAAGAGAAAGGGAAGAGGAAGAGAAGGAAGGAAGGAGAGAACGAAGGAGAGAGAGAAGAAGAGAGAAAGAGGGAGGGAAAGAAAGGGGAAGGGAAGGAAGAGAAGGAAGGATGAAGAAGGGAAGGAAGGAAGGAGAGAGAAGAAAGAGAAGAGGAGGGAGAGGAAGAGAAGGAAGGAGAGAATGAATGAAAGGGAAGGAAGGAAGAAAGAGAGAGAGAGAAGAGAAAGAGGGAGGGAAAGAAAAGGGAGGGAAAGGAAGAGAAGGAAGGAGAGAATGAATGAAAGGGAAGGAAGGAAGGAGAGAGAGAGAGAAGAAGAGAAAGAGGGAGGGAAAGAAAAGGGGGAGGGAAGAGGAAGAGAAGGAAGGAGAGAATGAATGAAAGGGAAGGAAGGAAGAGAGAAGAGAGAGAAGAAGAGAAAGAGGAGGGAAAGAAAGGGAGGGAAAGGAAGGAAGGAGGAGAGAAGAGAAGGGAAGGAAGGAAGGAAGAGAGAGAGAGAAGGAAGAGAAGAGGAGGGAAAGAAAGGGAGAAGGAAGGAAGAGAAGGAAGAAGAGAAAGGAAGGAGGAGAGAGAGAGAAGGAGAGAAAGAGGGAGGAAAGAAAGGGGGGAAGGGAGAGGAAGAAGAAGGAGAAGGAAGGGAGAAGAAGAAAGAAAAGGGGAGGAAGGGAGAGGAGAGAAGAAGGAGGGAGAGAAAGGGAGGGGGAAGGGTGAAAAGAAGGGATGGGATAGGAAAGGAAGAAGGGGAAGGGAAGGAAGGAGGAAGGAAGGAGGAAGGAAAGGAAAGGAAGGAAGGAAGGAAGGGTGAGAGAAATGAATGGCAAGGAAAAGGAGGGAGGGAGGGAGGGAGGAAGGGAGGGAGGGTGAAAAGAAAGGATGGGAAAGTAAAGGAAAGGGGAGGAAAGGGAAGGGAAAGCAAGCAAAGTAGGAAGGATGAAAGAACCAAATGGAAAGGGAAAGAAGGAAGGTGAAAAGAAGGGATAGAAAAGGAAAAGGTAGGAAAGGGGGGCAAGAAGGAAGGAAGCAGAAGGAAGAAAACAAGGAAGGGAGAGGAAGGAAGGAAGGAAGGAAGGAAGGAAGGAAGGAAGGAAGGAAGGAAGGAGAGAAAGAGGGAGGGAAGGTTGGCCACAGCAACACCTGGCGGGTACAGCTAGTGATACCATAAGGGAGCAATCCCTTGGTTCCCATTTCCAGCAATTGTAGCACCCTCAAAAGTTATCTTTCGAGTTGCAATAGTCACACAATGTAGCGTATACCTTTTGTTCATGCTTCCGACAGTTGCAACATGCAAGTGTTGAAATTATCTACAAAGTTATAAGTGAAGTTACCTTTCAAGTGGAAATAATATATAGAAATAACAATGTAATGTTCCTTTGTGGGATTAAGAGAACTCAAAAACCACTGGGGGAATTGACCCCAAATTTGGACACAAGATGCCTCTCAGGCCAATGAGTGACCATCACTCATAAAAACACTGAAAAACACAAAGGATGAGACTAAAAAAGCAAGAAAATAAAAATAAAAAATACAGTACAATGCATGCGCAAAACATATACACACACACAAAACTGGGCCATAGCAACACGTGACAACAACGCATGCAAAAAACCATATACACACACAACACATAACATAGAAAGGAAGGAAGGAAGGAGAGAAGAGGGAGAGAAGGAAGGAAGGAAGGAAGAAGAAAAGGAGAAGAGAAGAAAGAGGGAAGAGAAGGAAGAGAAAAAAGAAGGAAGAAGGAGGGAAGGAAGGAAGAAGGGAAGGAGGAAAGAAGGAAAGAAAGGGAAAGAAGGAGAGGGAGGAAAGAAGGAGGAAGGAGAGAAAGAAGAGAAGGAAGGAGGAGAAGAAGGAGGAGAGAAGGAGGGAAGGAGAGAAAGAAGGAAAGAAGGATAAAGAAGGAAGAAGGAAAGGGGAAGAAAGAGGAAGAGAGAAAGAAAGAAGGAGAGAAGAAGAGAGGGAGGGAGGAGAGGAAAAGAAGGGAAGGAGAAAAAGGGAAGAAGGAGAAAGAAGGGGAAGAAGGAGGGGAGAGAAGAAGGAAAGAAGGATAGAGAAGGAAGAAGGAGAGAAAGGGGAAGAAGAGAGAAGAAGGAAAGAAAGGGAGAAAGGAAGGAGAGGGAAAGGAGGAAAGAAGAAGGAGGGAGAAGAAAGAAGGAAGAGGAGAGAAGGAAGGAAAAAAAGGGAAGGAGGAAGGAAGGAGGAAAAAGGAAGAAAGGGGAGAAGGAGGAGAGGAGGAAGAAGGAGAGAAAGGAGAGAAGGAAAGGGAGGGAGGGAGGAGGGAAAGGAAGGAGGGAAAGGAGGGGAGGAGAGAAAGAGGAGAGAAGGAGGAAGAGAGAAAGAGGAGAAAGAAGGGAGGAAAGAGGTGGAGAAGGAAGGAAGGAGAGAGAAATAAACAAGTGAAAGAGGGAAGGAAGGAGAGAAGGAAGAAAGAGAGAAAGAGGGAGGGAGGAGGAAGGAAGAGAAAGGAAAATGGAACCAAAGAGCAAAGGAAGGCAGAAAAAAACAGGTAGAGAGGGAAAAAAGAAGAAGAGAAAGAAAGAGGGAGAAGGAAGGAAAGAAGGAGGTAAGGAAGGAGAGAAAGAAAGAAGGAGAGAAAGAGGGAGGGAATGTTGGCCACAGAAATGTCTGGTAGGGGACAGGTATAAACACACACGTATACACACATATATACACACAGAAAACACATATACACAGACTGGGCCACAGCAAAGTGTGGCAGGGGATGGCTAGTAAAACCTATAATGTTTTGTCTTTGCAAAGTCTTCCAGTGAGCTAACTCACAAAGTTACCAGTGAAGTTAATGTAACTTAGGCCTTTGGTAATGTTTTTCCAGCAATTATAGCATACTTGGGTCAACCAAGAGTTATTTTTGACTGCGTTGTTGTGAGTTTTCCAGGCTGTTATTTTTGAATTTGCAGTTGCAACAACATAATGTAGCTTAGGCTTTGGTTAGCATTTCCCGCAATTGCAGAATGCAAGGATTCGAATGAACGTAAATAGTTTTTTATTTTCCAAGTTGCAATTGTGGAAGAGGAAAGAAGTAACTTCCTGTTTTGGCTTAGTTGGAGAATAGATTCACAAGGGTGTGTCTCTACACTGTAGAATGAATGCAGTTTAACACCACTTTGATGCTATGGGAGTTGTAGTTCGGTGAGGCCTTAACACTTTTGTGAGCAGCGATGGCTAAAGGCCTTATTGAACTACAATACCAAAGTGGTGCCAAACTGGATTAATTCCCTGCACACTTTTGCAGAGAAGGCTCAAGATCGTGTCAAACTATAACTCCCAGGATGCCAGAGGAATTTAAGTGGTGCCGAATGTGCATTAATTCAACCATGTAGATGCACCCCAAACATCTTGAGAAGGCTCAAGATCGTGTCGAACTACAACTCCCAGGATGCCAGAGCAATTTAAGTGGTGCCGAATGTGAATTAATTCAACCATGTAGATGCACTCCAAACATCTTGAGAAGGCTCAAGATCATGTCAAACTACAACTCCCAGGATGCCAGAGGAATTTAAGTGGTGCCGAATGTACGTTAATTCAACCAAGTAGGCTCAAGATCATGTCAAACTACAACTCCCACGATGCCAGAGGAATTTAAGTGGTGCCGAATGTGCATTAATTCAACCAAGTAGGCTCAAGATCATGTCGAACTACAACTCCCAGGATGCCAGAGGAATTTAAGTGGTGCCGAATGTACGTTAATTCAACCAAGTAGGCTCAAGATCATGTCGAACTACAATTCCCAGGATGCCAGAGGAATTTAAGTGGTGTCGAATGTGTGTTAATTCAACCAAGAAGGCTCAAGATTGTGTAGAACTACAACTCCCAGGATGCCAGAGGAGTTTAAGTGGTGCCGAATGTGCATTAATTCAACCATGTAGATGCACCCCAAACATCTTGAGAAGGCTCAAGATCGTGTCGAACTACAACTCCCAGGATGCCAGAGCAATTTAAGTGGTGCCGAATGTGAATTAATTCAACCATGTAGATGCACTCCAAACATCTTGAGAAGGCTCAAGATCATGTCAAACTACAACTCCCAGGATGCCAGAGGAATTTAAGTGGTGCCGAATGTGCGTTAATTCAACCAAGAAGGCTCAAGATCATGTCGAACTACAACTCCCAGGATGCCAGAGGAATTTAAGTGGTGCCGAATGTGCGTTAATTCAACCAAGAAGGCTCAAGATCATGTCAAACTACAACTCCCAGGATGCCAGAGGAATTTAAGTGGTGTCGAATGTGCATTGATTCAACCAAGAAGGCTCAAGATCATGTCGAACTACAACTCCCAGGATGCCAGAGGAATTTAAGTGGTGCCGAATGTGCATTGATTCAACCAAGAAGGCTCAAGATCATGTCGAACTACAACTCCCAGGATGCCAGAGGAATTTAAGTGGTGCCGAATGTGCATTAATTCAACCAAGAAGGCTCAAGATCGTGTCCAACTACAACTCCCAGGATGCCAGAGGAATTTAAGTGGTGCCGAATGGGCATTAATTCAACCAAGAAGGCTCAAGATCCTGCCGAACTACAACTCCCAGGATGCCAGAGGAATTTAAGTGGTGCCGAATTGCATTAATTCAACCAAGAAGGCTCAAGATCGTGTCGAACTACAACTCCCAGGATCCCAGAGGAATTTGTGGTGCCAAATGTGCATTAATTCAATCATGTTGATGCACCCCAAACATCTTGAGAAGGCGCAAGACCATGTCAAACTACAACTCCCAGGATGCCAAAGGAATTTAAGTGGTGCCGAATGTGCATTAATTCAACCAAGAATGCTCAAGATCATGTCAAACTACAATTCCCAGGATGCCAGAGGAATTTAAGTGGTGCCGAATGTGCATTAATTCAACCATGTCGATGCACCCCAAACATCTTAAGAAGGCTCAAGATTGTGTCAAACTACAACTCCCAAGATGCCAGAGGAGTTTTAAGTGGTGCCGAATGTGCATTAATTTAACCATGTAGATGCACCCCAAACACCTTGCCAGAACTGTACCCGTTTTGAGTCTCTTTATGAACAGAAAAGCGAGGCATAAACAACAATAATCTACAGCTCCCAGGACTCCAGTGCATGGAGCTAAAGTGGTGCCAAACTGCATTAATTCTGCAGTGTAGATGCACCCGTAATGCAATGTGAATGAGGTCCAGGTCTTGCCACAGCCTCTTATGAATTGTGTGGTGTGGAAGGTCCACAGAACGGAAGGTGCCAAAGGCATCAGGTGCATTCAAGTGTCAGGATTTCCCCCTCTTTCAGCCCGAGCGAGCGAGCGAGTTCAGTTTTTCCTCTTCCTCTTTTGTTTCTCATTAACTCGGAGGCCGCTTTTATGCGCTGGCGTCAGGCGCATAGGTTGCTGCTCCGAGGGGCCGAAGGGCAACCGCTTGAGCCAAAGGGGAGAGAGACCGTCCGAAGGCCAAAGGGAAGGCCCGAGTCTCCTCCCATGGACTGGAGGCCAAAGCATTTCCAAGAGAGATAAGGAGAAATAGGGGGACACACACATTATTTCGTATTTTTTTGCATCCCACCCTTTACACTGCCATCCACACTAGAGAATTATAGCACAGCCATTCCATTTTAAGGTGCAATTTTAATTCAGTCCAGTCCTGGGAGTTGTAGTTTCCCCAAAGTCCGTAGGGCGCATTGATGCTGTAGAATGGATGTCCTTTGATTCAGCTTTCACTGCTGTGGAAATCGTGGGAGTTGTAGTTTCGCAAGGTCTTCAGCCTTCTCTGTCGAAGGATGCATCTACACTGCTGAGTTAATCCAGTTTGACACCACTTTAACCACCATGGCTCAATTTTGCCCAGTCCTGGGAGCTGTGGTTTCCCAAGGTCCATGGCCTTCTTTGGATGCCTCTACACTGCCCTAGCTCAATGCTATGGAAATCTTGGGAGCTGTAGTTTCCCAAGGTCTTCAGCCTTCTCTGTCGAAGGATGCATTTACACTACTGAGTTAATCCAGTTTGATACCACTTTAACCACCGTGGCTCAATTTTGCCCAGTCCTGGGAGTTGCAGTTTCCCAAGGTCCTCAACCTTCTCTGTCGAAGGACGCATCTACACTGCTGAGTTAATCCAGTTTATCACCACTTTAACCACCATGACTCAATTCTGACCAGTCCTGGGAGTTGTAGTTTCCCCAAAGTCCATAAACCATCTTTGGGTGCATTGATGATGTAGAATGAATTCCCTTTGATGCAGCTTTCACTGCTGTGGAAATCCTGGGAGGTGTAGTTTCGCAAGGTCTTCGGCCTTCTCTGTCGAAGGATGCATCTACACTACTGAGTTAATCCAGTTTGTCACCACTTTAACCACCATGACTCAATTCTGTCCAGCTCTGGAAGTTGTAGTTTACCAAAGTCCATAAGCTACCTTTGGGTGCATTGATGATGTAGAGTTAATGCCCTTCGATGCAGCTTTCACTGCTGTAGAAATCCTGGGAGTTGTAGTTTCCCAAGGACCATGGCCTTCTTTGGATGTTTCTACACTGCCCTGGCTCAATGATATGGAAATCCTGGGAGCTGTAGTATCCCAAGGGCATCAACCTTCTCTGTCAAAAGATGCATCTACACTACTGAGTTAATCCAGTTTGACACCACTTTAACCACCATGGCTCAATTCTGTCCAGCTCTGGAAGTTGTAGTTTACCAAAGTCCATAAGCTACCTTTGGGTGCATTGACGATGTAGAATTAATGCCCTTCGATGCAGCTTTCACTGCTGTAGAAATCCTGGGAGTTGTAGTTTCCCAAGGACCATGGCCTTCTTTGGATGTTTCTACACTGCCCTGGCTCAATGATATGGAAATCCTGGGAGCTGTAGTATCCCAAGGGCATCAACCTTCTCTGTCAAAAGATGCATCTACACTACTGAGTTAATCCAGTTTGACACCACTTTAACCACCATGGCTCAATTCTGTCCAGCTCTGGAAGTTGTAGTTTACCAAAGTCCATAAGCTACCTTTGGGTGCATTGACGATGTAGAGTTAATGCCCTTCGATGCAGCTTTCACTGCTGTAGAAATCCTGGGAGTTGTAGTTTCCCAAGGACCATGGCCTTCTTTGGATGTTTCTACACTGCCCTGGCTCAATGATATGGAAATCCTGGGAGCTGTAGTATCCCAAGGGCATCAACCTTCTCTGTCAAAAGATGCATCTACACTACTGAGTTAATCCAGTTTGTCACCACTTTAACCACCATGACTCAATTCTGTCCAGCTCTGGAAGTTGTAGTTTACCAAAGTCCATAAGCTACCTTTGGGTGCATTGATGATGTAGAGTTAATGCCCTTCGATGCAGCTTTCACTGCTGTAGAAATCCTGGGAGTTGTAGTTTCCCAAGGACCATGGCCTTCTTTGGATGTTTCTACACTGCCCTGGCTCAATGATATGGAAATCCTGGGAGCTGTAGTATCCCAAGGGCATCAACCTTCTCTGTCAAAAGATGCATCTACACTACTGAGTTAATCCAGTTTGACACCACTTTAACCACCATGGCTCAATTCTGTCCAGCTCTGGAAGTTGTAGTTTACCAAAGTCCATAAGCTACCTTTGGGTGCATTGACGATGTAGAATTAATGCCCTTCGATGCAGCTTTCACTGCTGTAGAAATCCTGGGAGTTGTAGTTTCCCAAGGACCATGGCCTTCTTTGGATGTTTCTACACTGCCCTGGCTCAATGATATGGAAATCCTGGGAGCTGTAGTATCCCAAGGGCATCAACCTTCTCTGTCAAAAGATGCATCTACACTACTGAGTTAATCCAGTTTGTCACCACTTTAACCACCATGACTCAATTCTGTCCAGTCCTGGGAGTTGTGGTTTCCCAAGGTCCATGGCCTTCTTTGGATGTCTCTGTACTGCCCTAGCTCAATGCTATGGAAATCTTGGGAGCTGTAGTTTCCCAAGGGCGTCAACCTTCTCTGTCAAATAATGCACCTACACTGGTGAATTAATCCAGTTTGACACCACTTTAACCACCATGGCTCAATTCTGTCCCGCCCTGGGAGTTGTAGTTTCCCAAGGTCCATAGACTTCTTTTTGGATGTCCTGATACTATAGAATCAATGCAGGTTGACACCACTTTCACTGTTCTGGCTCAATGCTGTAGAAGTCCTGGGAACTGTAGTTTCCCAAGTACTTCAACCTTCTCTGCATCCATACTGTAGAATTAATCCAGTTTGACACCACTGTAACCTCCATGACACCATGCTGTCCAGTGCTGGGAGTTGTAGTTTCCCAAGTTACATAGCCTTCTTTGGGTGCATCTACCCTGTAGAATGGATGCAATTTGACACCACTTTAACTGCACATGACTCAGTGCTGTCCAGTCCTGGGAGTTGTAGTTTCTCAAGGTCCATAGCCTTCTTTGGATGCCTTTACACTGTAGAATGGATGCAGTTCAACACCACTTTCATTGCCCTGGCTCAGTGCTATGGAATGCCTGGGAGTTGTAGTTTCCCACTGTCTTCAGCCTTCTCTGCCAAAGGGTGCATCTACACTGTAGAATTAGTCCAGTTTGACCACCTTTGGCTGTCATGGCTCAATGTGGTGGAATTTTGGGAGTTGTAGTTTGCACTTTCAGGCAATGAAGGCTGGAGACCTTGTGAAACTACAACTCCCATGGAATGCCTGGGAGTTGTAGTTTGCACTCTTTGGCAGGGAAGGCTGGAGACCTTGTGAAACTACAACTCCCACGGAATGCCTGGATGTTGTAGTTTGCACTCTTGGCAATGAAGGCTGGAAACCTTGTGAAACTACAACTCCCGTGGAATGCCTGGGAGTTGTAGTTTGCACTCTTTTGCAATGAAGGCTGGAAACCTTGCGAAACTACAACTCCCATGGAATGTCTGGGGGCTGTAGTTTGCACCCTTTGGCAGTGAAGGCTGGAGACCTTGTGAAACTACAACTCCCATGGAATGCCTGGGAGTTGTAGTTTGCACTCTTTTGCAATGAAGGCTGGAAACCTTGCGAAACTACAACTCCCATCGTATCTAGCTGTGGCACCAAACTGCATTGGTCGTGCAGTGAAACACAGAAAAGCAGGAGATCTGCCACGAAACTCTTAACCAGAACCGGAAGCCGTTTGAAAGACATAGAGTGCCTTTTGTCTCCACGGCTCACAATAAGCTGGACATCAAAGGCCTCATTGTGACCGTCTAACGGCCTTCCTGCTATCTGATTATTATTATATATATTTTTTGTCCATATAATTACTTTAATTCTCCATCCACAAGAGCTGGAAAAACGAGTCCGCGGTGCCCAAGCGGCCATGACGGCTCTCCATTATCCAAATGGCAAATTCAATTTGGCCGGGTGTGGCGTGCGCACGTCCGGGGGAAAAATCACTCGGCCTTCTGGCATTGCTCTGCAGAAGACAACCTGGCCTGGCTTGTTTGCTGGGAACGCACACGGCTGCCTGCAAAAGCCGTCCCCGTGCCAAAGAAGAACATGGAAACACACACACACACACACACGCACACGGGGTTTGTTTTTGGTTTGGCTTTATTTAGAGTTGACCCATCCAGACTGGAACAAACTCTCCTCTCTCTTTTTTTACTTTCAGAAAATAGTGCTAGGAAATGGATTGCTTTGCCTTTGCAAAGACAAAAAGTAACTTTTGCCCATCTTAGAGTGGGATGTAAATCTAAAGCCGCCGCAATAATAGTATAGGATAATAATCTAACACTAATAATACTATTATAATAATAGTAAGATAGGCTCAGATGCTAATATAGAGTTTGCCAGGTAGAGAGGGATTTGAATCTAAAGCAACAGGAATAATAATAATTTATTTAAGCAACAGGAATAATAATAATAATTGATTTATTTATTTCCAACATTTT